CTTATCCTCTCCTTTTCCTCATCTTCTCTTATCCTTATCCTCTCATATTGCCCAGAGCAGATTGAGGAGCGAGACCTAGAGCCGGGAGGCAGGCGGCCGGCGGTGTGGCCGCATGGAGGGGAGGCCGGGCAGTGGCTGGCGGCGGCCGGCGCAGCAGCGGCAGCGGCCGGCCTACGTGGCGGCGGCCTGCACCTTTGCCAGAGGGGAGGCGGCAGCGGCATGGATATTTTTTTTCTCTTGAGAATTTGTGATTGGATGTAAGATGTATTCGATTTGTATACGATGTGAATATGTGATGTATTTGTGATGATTTTTTTAGAACATGTGATGTAATGTTTTTAGAATTTGTAATGTATTTGGAGATGATCAATTTGAGGATTTGGAGATATATTTTGTTCTGTGATCTGTTGGATCTATTTGGGGATGATTTGGGGATATTCAATGTTAAAAACAATATTTGGGGATGATTTGGGGATATCTCCAGCAGTGAAATCAATATTCAATGTTAAAACAATAAAAAAAGGAAAAAAATACTAGCAATAGGACCTGGTCTGCCTCCATCTTTAGTCCCGGTTAATATTACCAACCGGAAGTAAAAAAAATTTTTATGCCGGTTATTTCACCCGGGACTAAAGATGGGCATCTTTAGTCCTGGATTCGTGGTCCTTGTTATATAACTGGTACTATAAGGGATTACCAACCGGGAGTGATGCTCCTTTATCCAGCAGTGAAAGTAACATGTTCTTCCGTTGTAGCGGGTCATACCAATATAAATAGAGATGAGATATAGCCTATAAGTGTTACTGTGGAATAAAACATTAGATTCGGTTCCTTAAGTACATTATGCATTGGCGCACTTTGCATGATGGGAGGAGGGGATGAAAGAAGCATGGCTCTACTTTTAAGGTTGTAAAGATATGGGTTATAAGGCCTGGTCAATTTAAAATATCAGAACTTGATTTCGGATGGTCTTTTTTTAGTTATTTTCAGAATATTTATTTTCAGAAAGTGCGATAAAAAAAAACTCTCAAAGAGTTATAAAACGGCGTACTGTCAAAACGTGCACTACTGGCGCTGTTAAGTTTTCATATATTCAAAATGATTTTATCCTTGAAACCAGATATACATGCTAGATTGAAAATATCTGTAATAATAGGTCGACTTATCGAGCACTAAATTTTAATCCCCTCTTTGCTCATTCTACTACTAATTTTTTTAACGATTATATTGTCCCCTTTCTCATAAATAAGTGAGCTTCAAAATCATGATTTTCAAGTTGAAAATAGTTTCAGCATCTCTAAAACATCAAAAGGGGATAGAAAAAATTAAAGCCAAAATCTAATTATGTTTAATTATGTTTGTTGAAATTTTAAGTGGTAATTAATTAACCTCTCTCCATGGAAATTTCTTCAAATTTGGTTGAAGTTGACGGCAGCGCTATTCCGCGCTCTATTAGTTCGAGCACCGCACAATGCCCACTCCTTCCGGTTTTCCAGTTTTTTTACCACCCCACCTTTTCTCCGCATCCCTCCCGCATCCCACCTTTTCTCGGTTTGTTTTTTTCGTTTTTTACCACTCCACCTTCCGTATTTTTTTTTCTCTTTTCCATCTCATCCGTTCTTCATCAATGGGCCCGATAAAATATTAACCATCCAGATTTCTCTGTTTTTCGTTCCTTCTATGTAGTTTTTCTGTTTTCACATTTTAGTGAAATATTTACCGTCTAGTTTTTCTTTCTGAGTTTTCCCTTTTTCTAGCATCTCCGCACGTTTCAAAAGTAACGAATTTACTCCGTGGAGTTTTTCATTTACTCCTAGCCTCCCACATCTGCTCATTCAAAAGTAACAAATTTACTCGCATGAATACCTCCACATCATATGACGCCATACCTAGATGGTCGTAAAAGAATTACTACCAGTTTACAATACTAGTAATTCTTTTACCAATATTGTAAATATTGTTTAGATTTCATGGTCTGTGAGTAAAACAATTACTACCTTTTTCTCGATATAGCACATGATCTCATAGCCACCGTGTAGTAATATGTTTACTGATGTGTTCAATACACAGTATAAGAGTAAAAACTAAGATTTCGTGGTCTACAAGTAAAACAATTACCACCTTCCTCTCGATATAGCCATGATCTCGTAGCCACCGTGTAGTAATATATTTACTGATGTGTTCAATATACAGTATAAGAGTAGAAATTGATACTAAGAGTATTGTTGATCTGTATCACAAAATAGTCGTATGAATGAAGAAATTACAGGCTCAATCACACACAAGTGATAAAATTACTCATAGGTGAATCAAACTAGAAAAGAAAAAAAATGATTCAACCAAAAATCCATCTGGTGGCTTTGTTAGATCTTGCTATAAGGATGAAGAACGTGATCTATGTCTTGTGACTGGTAGTGGAGAGGGCAACCGGATGGCGATCTGTAGTTGACGATGGAATCATGGAAGGATGTAGTGGTGTGGTATAGAGAGGAACTCGATGTTGCGTAGTAGCAGCCATCGATCATCTAGCAAGCACGAAAAAAATGCAAAAACATTCTCATTCATGTCAATAGAGATGACGAGCAAAAGAAAAATAGAAAACAACCTCCATCACCGGTGGACTCCACCCTATCCTCTATGGCGAACCACATGAGCACGATGTGCCAATGTAGGACATGTGCAGCCCATTAATTGAGATCAGGTAATATTGGAGATTGCACGTTAATTTGATTTAAAAAAAAATTGGGGCTTCATGCCTGAAATTGAAGGAGAGTATGCAGATTCAAATCAGGGTATCATTTTCCTTACTTGCTTGTTCTATCAATATCGCCGACGTGGGCAGCCGCTGGTTGTTGGTATTGGCCCAGGTGAACACCTCCTTGCTGGTTAAGGTACTGCCCAGCGTTCGGCAGTGAGGTCCGAAGCAGTGCCTTCGCCTCAACCGCCGTCGGCCACCTCCATCAACTGCCACGGTGTAGTCGTCCTCCTCCATGGTGTGTCGTCGATCTGTGGGTTGGGATGGTGGATTGATTCAGATCCAAAAAAAAGGGAAAAAATGAAGTGGGGGCGAGAGTGGTTGGTTGGGTATGGGAAAATAGAATATATACCGAAAGCAGAGAAGTTGTTTTTATCGAAGTAAATCATTTACTCCGATAATGGTGGGAGCACGATACAGGACATGGGGTGGGATCGGAAGCAGGGGAGTTGTTTTTATTATCGAAGTAAATCGTTTACTCGAATAAAGGTGGGTGGTTGAGGCGCGCAATAGGAGGAAATCGTTTACTCCGACAACGTTAGGAGTGGGATGACGGGACGTGGGGTGGGATGGGCCTGGGCTGATGCATGTTTGGCGCTCTAATAGTATTTTTGTGAAGTTGATTCTAAAAAAAATAATTAATTTTTCAATCCATATATTTTCAAATTGTCCGTATATTGATTTTTCAACTACTTCTATCAAGTGTCCATATATATTTTCAACGAAACGCTCTTATCTTTCAGAATATCGTTCCACATCTAAATTTTTGGTTTGTTAATGTTAAGCAAGAAATTCTCATACATATATGTAGGATGAATGAACCTATATGTAGAATGAATGAACCTCTTCTTTCTTCAGTGTCTAGTTGGTTACAAACCTTGTAAATCTGGACTTTTCTCTTTTGTTGTATATTTATATAATCCAAACTACCGGGTGAGCCCCAGTAGTCTTTTCAAAAAAAAAAAAAAGAAAACTGCTGCTAAGTGGGCACGGGACATCCATGTTATCGTATTGCGCGATTGCTAATCGGCGCGCGTTTCCGGCCCAGAAGGCCCAGCACCGGCGAGCGCGCCTCCCACTCTTTTTTTTCGTTTTTCTTTACCCATTTTATTCGCTTTTTCCTTTTTTTTCTGATTATTTTTTAATCTTTAGCATGTTTTGAGTTTGAAAGTTTTAAATTTTGAGTTGAAAATTTTTAAATTTGAACTTGAAAGTTTTTAAATCTCGAGTTGAAAGTTTTCAAATCTCGATTTGAAAGTTTTCAAAAATTTCAAATCTAGACTTGAAAGTTTTCGAATCTCGAGTTGAAAGTTTTCAAATCTCAAATTGAAAGTTTTCAAAATTTTTAAATCTGTACTTGAAAGTTTTCAAATTTGAGTTGAAAGTTTTCAAATTTTGATTTTAAAATTTGAATCGAAAATTTTCAAATCTAACTTAAAAAAATTTCAATCTTTTAGTAAAAAATATCAAAAAATCTTAATCTTTCCTAGTTACTATTATTAGTGTTAAGTATATTAACTAATAGAGGTAGTTAAGTATATTAACTAATAGTGTTAATAGAGGTAGTTAATAGGGGACGAGTGCACGCTAGCAGCGAGCACGCGCTAGCTAGGAGTCCCCATCGTATTGCATCAAAATCAATCCATATACATACCGTCACAAAAAAAAAACATATACGGACACACTGCGCTGTATGCTCTTGCTCTTAATATCTTGCGTGCTGGCTTTTCGTAAAGTTAAATCCTTTTCTTAATGTCCTCTAATCATGCGCCAAATATGATCCATCGATCTATATAGTTGGTAGGCAGTCCAACTCTTATCAACCGATTCATGGACACTTTAAATGTCCGAAGATTTAGTGCATTTAGTGTAAAAATAAAGGTGCTTAAGCATGCCCAAATTGTTAGGCCACTCCATTGATTTTTAACAAAAAGATCCTCAAAGCATTCTCGCTTGCAATGCTTATCCTATCAATCAATTCCTTCTTATTTAGAAACCAATCAAGATATTCTAACTAATCCAAACCAAAGGAAAAAAAAAGAATTAATCCATATCCATGCATGTGAGCTACTACTAGCTTACAAGGCTCGCACACATGAACACCATATATACATATAAAAATAATATGGTTTTTTTTAAAAAAAATGATGAAATATATATCTAACATCAAAATAACACGTGGCGTGCAGCCATTGGCCATGGCTTCCTATATAAGGACACACACCCTTCGTCCTCAAAGCCGCATCACTTCACTTCTTTCCATTTCCATCACCCCACGTCGAGCTAGCCATGGCGGCCGCCGCCGGCGTCCTTCTGGTACTGACGGCCGCAGTATTGCTCCTGCTGGTCGAGGGCGGCGAGCCGCCGTACTCGTGCGGGCCGCGGTCGCCGTCGTCGGGGTACGCGTTCTGCGACGCGAGGCTGCCGCCGGCGCGGCGGGCGGCGGACCTGGTGTCGCGGCTGACGGCGGCGGAGAAGGTGGCGCAGCTCGGGGACGAGGCCGGCGGCGTGCCGAGGCTCGGGGTGCCGCCGTACAAGTGGTGGTCGGAGGGGCTCCACGGGCTCTCCTACTGGGGCCACGGCATGCACTTCAACGGCGCCGTCACCGCCATCACCAGCTTCCCCCAGGTCCTCCTCACCGCCGCCGCCTTCGACGACCGCCTCTGGTTCCGCATCGGCCAGGTACGTGTATGCCTAGCTAAGGGTGTAAATGGTTAACCCGAGAACCCACTTAGCTTAGACGTTAAAAATAAATCCGTGAATTCACTAAAAGATCAAAATATACGGGTTCACGGTTTATTTTAACCTACAAATAGGTTCGTGGATTAACCATTTACAACCCTACAGTCTTGCTACCATCGTATTACTAACTTATCACCACGACGACGATGAGTATACATGTTAGTATGTATATCGGTAATTTTACCATTTTTAATAAGGTACTAGCTGGAGAAGTAATATTTTTGTTATGTAAACTTAGGTACATGTAAAATTCATAGCTCGAAGTATTTTTTTCGAGGACCATATGATTTTTCATGCGTATAAACTTCGTGAACGTATATATTTATGTACTTGCGTGTACTTATACATGTACTGTACGTAGAGCGCCTACTTGTTAGGGACTCCGTATACGTACATCGTTGGGACAAGTAGACGAACTCACTGTAGGTAGTAGTACATTGTACAGACACTTTACAGCTAGACTCGAGTAACGTACACGTATGTTGCAAATTTTGTGTAATAAGACATTAAATTAAACACACGGGACCTAATGGAGATATATAAAATTATTCCCGATTTTCTTGTTTTAAAATACGTGTATATGCATATACTGTATTTATGTGTAAAATTTGTATACGTGTATATACATATACTATACATTTTAAAATACGTGTATACTACATATACTGCATTATCCAGGGAAGAAAGAATTAAGAGGCGGAAAAAAAGAAAGGAAATATGCGTGCTGTGGTGAGCCCACTTTAATTTGGATTATCTGCCAACTATTTGGGCAGTACATGCCTGCCGTTGCTGAAAATGTAGTCAAGATAAACACTCTGGACATTGATAAACATGCAGGACAGCTCAAAGTCCTTAATCCATATCGACTGTGCACGATCGAATATCATCTGTTAACCCCACTTTGTTGATCGATCAGGTGAGGTTGAGGTATAATTCTCCTGGGCTGCTGGGCCCACATGTCACTCACTGTAATTGTTTCCAATCGTTTCGTTACTAGTATTTATCAGCTATAGGAGCATATGCTTGTTAATTATGGCAATGCAAATCGTATTTGCGATAGACAATCCAAGTAAAATATATATATATATATAATCCCAAAAAAATATATATCAAGGCGTGGTAAATAAAATACAGTATCAATTTTTGTTTGCGACTGAATTCGGCAAGATAAAGTTGGCATGCATGCATGCCTGGCCATTAATTTCATATATGTGATCATAAATGGTCCAGGCCAGAAGAGACAGAGTAGAGAGGCATCAAGGGGATTGTACATAATAGTGACATATATATAGTGGTAGGAAATGATATAATATTTTTTTATAATGAAAAAGTGGATATATATCTTAGAGTATCTGATTTGGGGAAACTTGGAGATGCTCACTTAAGTGGGACAAGATCAAATATATATAATAGTATGCCTTAATTTTCTTTTTACCAATATGCTACGTTTAAATAACAATGTTCCAAGCTAAAATAAGCGTGTTAGTTAGATAATTAAGCTTATCCTGCCGATATATATGTAAAAGGACAAATTAAATCAGTTGGTGGTGAGAATAATTTAAAATCTGACCAACACATACATTCTGCTTTCCAGCAACACACACATACATTGTTTGCAATCAAGGTATAAGAGCTATATAGGACGGCATAAGAATCAGGACCCTACACTGCACATCATATAGAAGGGCCAGTAAACAGAGTGAAGACGACAACAGGTGCATGCAAAGCACAAGCACACACATGATTGGTTGTTCAGTTCTGACTTGTTAACCACTAGATGCCACATAACAATATGTCTGGTTGTTGCAAAGCACTAGCAATGACCTGAGGCGGCGTTAACCGTTACAAAGGCTAGCTATAGATATAGTTAGGTCAGGCAGGCCGGACGGCTAGCTTTTCTGTACCCAACTACCCTGCTAAGCATGTAGAGTACAATTATGTTGATTAATGTCTGGCCTCTGCTTAATTTACCCAACTTTTGACTAGTTATCAACTAATTATAGCTGCTGTTATAGTGGTTTGCTTAATCTAACAGCTAGCATGCAAGCATGATGAGGCCATATACATGGATCTAGATCTTGTTTTGGCCATCCATCGATTAAATGATCTTGTTATGCATGCCGGCTGTCATACTAGTTTCTTCAAGTAATTATGCCGGCTGTCGTGACTGTGTACATCATCAACAGTACATGCACACATTAATCAGCCAGACGTCGCTGTCTTTGTCGTCTGTTATGACAGTAAACACTAGTGTTTTGTGGCCTCCATGATCGCTGGATCATACCATAATGGTTAGGTACACTTGACTTGGTGCGAAAAAAGTGATACTATCTAGCTTAGCTAGCTCCCATGTGCATTATGCATGCTGGATATGCTTGGTTAGTTAGACTCCACCAAACGAGCGTGCAACCGAAGCATGTCCTATCAGTTGGTAACCCTAGCTAGTGCATACTCTCCTTTCTAGTACTCACTAACTTTGAAGGAAAAAAAACTCAGAATCCCTGACTATATGACTACTAACGATAAATTGTTCTTGTCTAGATTTATAGTATAAGCACGTGTCACATCTCATATTTTTTTATTTTGCAACGGAGGAAGTACCTATAAGTGATGGTGATAATAATGATAATTATAAGCGTGATTATGTGCAGGCGATCGGCACGGAGGCCAGGGCCTTGTACAACCTAGGGCAGGCGGAGGGGCTGACCATCTGGTCTCCTAACGTGAACATCTACAGGGACCCAAGGTGGGGCCGTGGCCAGGAGACGCCAGGCGAGGACCCCACCACGGCGAGCAAGTATGCCGTCGCCTTCGTTAAGGGATTGCAGGGGAGCACGCCAGGGACTCTACAAACGTCCGCCTGTTGCAAGCACGCCACCGCCTATGACCTCGAGGAGTGGAACGGTGTCGCACGCTACAACTTTAACGCAAAGGTATTAAGAAGAGAAATTGTGTTTTTTAGAGTAAAATTCATTATAAAGAAATACATTTCGATCATCAAGTGTTCAACTCATAAAACAATGGGTTTATGGTAAATGTAGGTGACGGCACAAGATCTAGCGGACACGTTCAACCCGCCCTTCAAGAGCTGTGTAGTGGATGCAAAGGCAAGCTGCGTCATGTGCGCATACACTGACATCAACGGTGTCCCTGCATGCGCTAGTTCTGACCTCCTTTCCAAGACCTTTAGGGGACAGTGGGGACTGGATGGGTAAGATATATTCATATCTCAAATATTAGCTGGTTGTTGTTTAAGTATTACCTATCAATCCTAACATTTCAAACTCTAGTTTTCAAATTTGCCATTTATGTTTTAATTTGGAATTAATTTTTTTTATCTTAAGATATGGAATATAAATATTCATGGTACTTTTAAATTTAAATATAAACTTTTTGAATATAAACAAATTAAATTAAAATTTTGCATTTTAAACACTCTTGTTTGTATCTATTTCATTTCTAAAATTTTATTTCATAAATAATGTAATTTCACCTCCAAACCCAGAATTATATTTGAAAGAAAAAAATAATTTCTAACAAGGGGACAAGGAGACAACATCTATATATGCTGGACTAACCTAATAAAATATTTTTCCCATTTTATAAAGGATTGAAATATCTGTAGGCACGATTATTTTCACCCTTTTGGCCCATTAGATTATCTTAAAAATGATAATTAGATAGAAGTCTTACTACCTGATATTGGCACCAATTTTAATCTGTGCCCCACGACGTATGCAGGTACGTTTCTTCAGACTGTGATGCAGTGGCCCTCTTGCGTGACGCGCAGCGTTACGCGCCAACACCCGAAGACACCGTTGCCGTTGCAATCAAGGCCGGTCAGTACAAAACCCCAATTCGATTTAAAAATTGTTCCAAATACTCGCTTAAATTTGGATGAAATTTGATCATTCTTTTCTCTCTTTTTTTTAACGAATTGGTTCAATGCAAGCAGGGTTGGACTTGAACTGCGGGAACTACACGCAGGTTCACGGCATGGCGGCGCTGCAGCAGGGGAAGATGAGGGAGAGCGACGTGGACAGGGCGCTCACCAACCTCTTCGCCGTCCGCATGCGCCTCGGCCACTTCGACGGCGACCCCAGGAGCAACGCGGCGTACGGCCACCTCGGCGCCGCCGACGTGTGCACCCAGGCGCACCGGGACCTCGCCCTCGAGGCGGCGCAGGACGGCATCGTCCTCCTCAAGAACGACGCCGGCGCGCTCCCGCTCGACCGCGCCACCGTGCGCTCCGCCGCCGTCATCGGCCCCAACGCCAACGACCCCGCCGCGCTGAACGGCAACTACTTCGGCCCGCCGTGCGAGACGACGACGCCGCTGCAAGGTGTCCAGAGGTATATCTCCAGCGTGAGGTTCCTCGCCGGGTGCGACTCGCCGGCGTGCGGGTTCGCCGCAACGGGGCAGGCGGCGGCGCTGGCGAGCTCGTCGGACCAGGTGATCATGTTCATGGGGCTCAGCCAGGACCAGGAGAAGGAAGGTCTCGACAGGACGAGCCTGCTGCTCCCCGGCAAGCAGCAGAGCCTCATCACCGCCGTGGCGAGCGCGGCGCGGCGGCCGGTGATCCTCGTCCTCCTCACCGGCGGGCCGGTTGACGTCACGTTCGCCAAGAACAACCCCAAGATCGGCGCCATCCTGTGGGCGGGGTACCCCGGCCAGGCCGGCGGGCTCGCCATCGCCAAGGTGCTCTTCGGCGACCACAACCCCAGCGGAAGGCTGCCGGTGACATGGTACCCGGAGGAGTTCACCAGGATCCCCATGACCGACATGCGGATGCGCGCCGACCCGGCCACCGGCTACCCCGGCCGGAGCTACCGCTTCTACCAAGGCAACCCCGTCTACAAGTTCGGCTACGGCCTCAGCTACTCCAAATTCTCCCGCCGCCTCGTCGCCGCCGCGAAACCACGTCGTCCCAACCGAAACCTCCTCGCCGGCGTGATCCCGAAGCCGGCTGGCGACGGCGGCGAGAGCTACCACGTGGAGGAGATCGGCGAGGAGGGGTGCGAGCGGCTCAAGTTCCCGGCCACCGTGGAGGTGCACAACCACGGGCCCATGGACGGCAAGCACTCGGTGCTGGTGTTCGTCCGGTGGCCGAACGCGACGGCGGGGGCGAGCCGGCCGGCGAGGCAGCTGGTCGGGTTCAGCAGTCAGCATGTCAGGGCGGGGGAGAAGGCGAGGTTGACGATGGAGATCAACCCGTGCGAGCACCTGAGCCGGGCGAGGGAGGACGGCACGAAGGTGATCGACCGAGGATCGCATTTCCTCAAGGTCGGGGAGGAAGACGACGAGTGGGAGATCAGCTTCGACGCATGAACGACATGAGAAGCCGATTAAATCTTGGAATGGATTAGTGCTGCAATTGATTCTTTCCGATGATTTATTATAAGTTGTTGTTGCGTAACTAAAATTAATTAATTTATCTTGTAATTCGGATGGGTTTGCCTCTAATTAAAGAAAGGAGGCATTTGTTTAGAAATTAATTTAAGGTGTAATAATCAGCTATGAAAGGATAATTTATTGGTGGAAATTAGAAGGGGTAATAATAAGGTGTTTTTTTGGGTGTAGTTATATTTATGACGCCATATCTTTCACTAAAAAATAGTCGGCATGTATTTACATTGTAACTTCCTAAAATACATATGTAATTTTAGTGTATTTATAATGTAAATCTCGAAATTACATATGTAAATTCCAAAATTACATATGTAAATAGAGTGTAATTTTACATGTAGATATCAAAGGAACGTGATCGATCGGATAAATCACAGCAAACAACACAGGTGCATGTGTATGTAGTACGAACTAGTGCTTGCACGCACGATGGCAAATTAAGTAGTCCTGCACGAATCTAAACGAAACTTTGAGGGCTAACAAACTGACTAGATTTATGGCGACATAACTATAGCAAAACCGTTTTTTTTGGGGTCACCTCTTCCTCTGCTCTTGCTCCTCTGCTGTTGCGCCCCCGGGTCGCGCTGCGACAAGCTGCAGGCTAGCGCTTCTCGCATTCGGTCACCGGACGAGGGCATTCGGTCGAGCCGGTGGCGTGCATGAAGACCCACCCCTCTTTCCTCGAGACGTGGTACTGCCACTGGCACTGGGCTGGGAAAATATGGCCCATACCAACGCAGGTGGCCGTGCGAAGACATGCGTTTCGATCCAGTGAGCAGTGGGGCCACAGCAGGCTGGGCCCAGTTCCTCGATCATAATTTTTTTTATTTATACATTTTTTATTAAAATATTTACAAAAATAAATTTTTGTTTCGAAAATTTACAAATCTAATCGTCAAGGGCGGCAAGGGACCTAAATGCAAAATTTTTATTTGTGTTTAAACCCTTTCCACCGGTTTTAATTGCTTAAAAAGTAATAATACTTATTTGATACTCTAAATGATTTTAAATGGAAAAGTGATAAACTACAAAGCTATAGATCTCATCAAGATCTACAACTTTTATATAAAGTTTATCTCCATCCAATGTCGTTTGAAATATAGATCTGAGATTTTTTAAAATGTGTTTTATATTTTGTAAAGAATATTTGGATATCTAAAACATCTTAAATGAAAAAGTTAACTACAAAGTTGTAGATTTCCTTGAGCTCTACAGTTTTGATATAAAGTTTTATTTCATCTAACTTTATATAATATAATTTTAAATTGTAAAATCATAGAGCTAAAAAGTTGTGCTGAAAAATTTGCATTTAGGTCCCTTGCTGCCCTCCCAAAGGGCGGCAGTCGATTAGATTTGTAAATTTTCAAAAAAAAATATTTATTTTTGTAAATATTTTAATAAAAAAATGTATAAATAAAAAAAATCATCTTTCTCTTACCTCAAGATGCAGGTTGGCATCAGAAAGATGGGTCCACGTGGCAACGTAATTGTTTGATATGGTCTGAGCAAACTGGGGATGAGGGAATTTTTGAATTTAAAGGGTTATTCATTTTGTTGTTATTTTTAATCTTACTCTAGATCTCGAAGAGAGTGGGGCAGATGAAGCGTCTCGCAGGAGGGAGAGGCGGCGGAGTTGGCCGGAGTCTCACCAGTGGGGAGGTCTGTCAGCCGTGGCTCGCGAGAAGGAGAGTCTTTTACCCCTATGCCATTAAAAAAGTTACTGCTTACCTGTGTGCCACAAAAAAGTTTGGAGTCACCTGTATGCCATGAGAAAAACTTTCGTTGACCCGTGTGCCATTTCGTCCACCTTATGTTAGAACTTAACAGTTCCATAGCTCTGACATGTGGGACCCATGTATAAAAATGACTAATTTGACCCTAAGGATTTTCAGCTCTATTCTTCTCTCCTGCTATCTCCCGTGAGTGCCTGCTCTCTCCCCGTTGCGTTGCAAGCCGCCGCACCCTAACCCTAGCCGCACGCCGCTGCCGCCGCCGCCTCGCCTCGCCAGAGCCGGAGCCGGAGCCACCGCCGCCTCGCCTCGCCGGAGCCGGAGCCGGAGCCGTCGCCGCCTCGCCTCGCCGAAGCCGTCGCCGTCTCGCCTCGCTGGAGCCGTCGTCGCCGCCACCGTCGCCGTGCGCCTAGGCCGGCGCGCTGCTGCGCCAGGCCGTCGTGCCTCCTCCTCTCCTCCTCCAAGGCCCACGTGTTCCCGCGTCTTCCCTCGTCGCGCGGCACGTGGGCGGCACGCGCGGCGGGTGGTGGTTGGTCCGGGAGGCCGGCGTCGTCGTCGGTCGTCGGGTGGTGCAGCGCCGTTGGGCCCTCCATCGATGGCCGCCACCGCAGGTGAGCGAGTGAGATATTTGCAGTGGTCACGTGAGATTCGAATCACGATGTGCTAGCTGCGGCTACTGCTCTCATGCTATCTCTCGATCTCTCGCTCTCGCTCTCTCGTGTGGGGTTTCGAGATGCATCTGTATATGGTTTGGAGTTCTCGTCTTTTGCGAGAAACGGAATTTGGAATTATGCGATTGCTTTTGGAAATTGGTGCCCTTTGGAAGCTCTATGTGTATGCTTGATTCGAAGCATTAAATACAAAAAAAGGGCATATGCTTGTTTTTATGTATTGGACAATAATACCTGCCCACATGAATTCATGTTACTCACACCAAACTACAATATTTGATTACCCGTTATTTGTTGGTATACAATGGTCATACACCTGTTTTTTCCTTTTTACAAAATTTATTTCCGATTTTTCCTTATTTTTTCCACCATTTTCTAATTTTTCCCACATTTTCCTAATTTTTCCTGGATTTTTAAACATTTTTAAAATTTATTCTCACTTTTTCTGATTTTTACCTTTTTTAAATATTATTTTTCATTTTTTCTGGTTTTTAACGCTTTTCCTAAATTATTTTTCACTTTTCTGATTTTTTAAACCCATTATTGTACACAAGGGCAAAACTGTCTTTACACAACCCCTAACACCTCTGTTATGTCTCCATCCATCCAAAATGGCACACGGGTCAACGAAAGTTGGGCTCATGGTATACATGTAACTCCAAATTTTTTGTGATATATAGGTAACCTGTAACTTTCTTAATGGCATAGGGGTAAAAGACTCCGAGAAGGAAGAAAACGCGTCTGCTCGTGGAGGAAGAAACTTTTAAAAATCTTGATCTCCTGAGGCCAAAGACTTTTCCCCAGGGAAGGGAAGTGACGTGGATAGCGAGGGAATTTTCGGTCCCGTGGGCTTCCAAACGTGCAAGTAATTAGGCCCGTGGATAGTTCATCGTGGAGCTTTTTCATTGGGAATGGGCTGGAATTAGGGGGTGAAAACGGGGCGGGTATTTCCTGACCGTTCGTCCGGCTGTATTATTTCGGATCAAATTTAGGTCAAAAATTTGGGTATCCGGAACTTTACACGGATATAGGGTTCGAATACGGGTTATTTTTTACGGATATAAAATCGGATTCGATGAATACGGATTATCCGGTAAAAAATACAGATATTATCCAATTAGTTATATGGATAGTATCCGTATTAGCCAAAAGGTCAACCACCAGTCCACCAAGCCCAACAGCCCACCGGCCCAACAATAATCCTAGGAAATAGGAACATGCAGCCGAACAGGAGAGAGGGGCGGCGTGCGCGGTGCGCCTGTGCGTGAGGGGCGGCGTCGCGTCTCCTTATTTCCGCCGCCGTTGCCGCTAGCCTGCCTGGCTGCCTGCCGCGCGCCCGCTTCCCTGCACTGCTGCAGCAGCTAAGCCACCCGCGCCAAGTGCCACCAGCCCACCACGCCGGCTGAGCCACCCGCGGCCGTCGCGCTGCCTACGCCACCCGCGCCCATCGCGCCGCCACCCACGGCGCTCGTCGCTACCGCTGCTGCCCGGCCTGCACCGGTCATCGGCAGCAGCGGTCGCCGTCTCCGCCTCGCTGGCCTGCCGTCTGCCCGTGTTGTGTCTCCCTCCATCCTATTCCTAGTAGCCTCCTCGCTTCATTCGCCTGAGCAGTATTATGGTGTTATCTATTGGTACTACTTACTCCGTTTTATATTATAAGATTTTCTATCATTGCCCAGATTCAAATATATGTTAATGAATCTAGACATATATTTATATATTCATTAACATCTATATCAATGTGGACAATGCTAGAAAGTTTTATAACCTGAAAAAGAGAGAGTACTATGTGGTACTACTGTTATGATGAATTGGTGATATTTTGGATGATGTCTACGTTTAGCTTGTGGCTATGAGGTACTGTACTGCTATCATGTTTCCTAATACCCTAATGGCCTAATATAATCGTGTTATGGATATATAGAATTGTTGAATGGTTATTGTCCATGTGCTATTTATGATTGTTGCTTCGACTTGATATCCGAATAAATATTCACAACCCATAGTGTACGTATCTGTTTTGGTACGTATTCGTCAAATATTTTTGCCCGATATTATCCGAGGTTATATCCATATTCGACATTATATCCGTGTCCAACCTGATTCTGATTATAAAATATGGGTTATAATATGAGAAGGATGAGATTTGACCCAACCCGACGCGATTTCAGCCCTAGCTGGAATCCGGGCTGCCAAAGGAGCGCTTAAGGTTAGTGGCCAGATGTGACACTTATCAACAAATGGATCGATAACAAACTACTATTCTAAGTTTTAAAGAAAAACCAACTACTATTCTTTTATTCATTAAACGATCCCTGTTAACGGTTGAGTTCGTTTTTCTAGTTGGTGGTGGCAACTCCTCATCATAAAACACGAGAAAAGCTATTAAACACATAATTAATCAAATATTTATTATCATAAATTTGATAAATATTTTTATTTAATTTTTTAAAAAAACTATCTATATAAAAAGATTTTGCAAAACACATTGTTTTCACAAAACAAGCTAATGGAAAAGGGAAAAGACGGAAGTTATCGCTGGCAAACGGCCAACGAATTGGCCCTTGATATGGGATGAACAAATCGAGTCATACATTACTCACATGAATAAAAGTCCAGCTAATTATCCCAGCTGGTGAATGATACACGTGGCCACAAACCATTTGCCGCGACCACTCCCTCCGCGTGGCTGTTTTGGGTTTCCACTTTCAACGGATAAGCCATTTTTTTTTTGGGGGGAAAAAGGGAAATTTCATTAATCAATCAAAGAATCCTCACACACCAGGTGTGTTATGAGGTTACAAGTGTTGTCTGGCC